ATTAACAACAGCTAGTCATTTTGATGTGGTGGTTAAAGGTGGTTGACTAGAAGTAGGAAAATCTGAGTTCTAGTTCTCCAATAGATACAGAAACCAGGTGACTGATTTGGGGTCAGTTTTCACCTAGTAAAGAGGTGACTGGCAGACAACTGAAAATGTTGCCAATACAACTATATTAACCTGTCAATGTGGTCACCAGGAATCCCGATTGACTCAAGGGACCATAACAGCTCTTCCTTAGACAATCAAATTGCCTTCAAGAGTCCACTTGTTGATCCCTCTTCTAAAGTGTAAATTGCAGAATTGTTTTTCTGGATTCCTCTTGCAATATTGTGCAAGGGACAGATTATAGAAACTATCCTAGACAGCTTAGCTCATGATTCACCGCCATGGCACCTGCAGGCACCAACATCCATACAGAAAACAACCCTTGGTGTTTACCAGGTTCTTAGCATCCCTGATTTTTAATTGATTATTTTAATTAAAATCAAATAGGACCCCCAACATGCAATAAAACAAAATGATCATCCCAGTCATGATTTTAAATATATATATATGGAAGGGAAGGGAAGGGAAGGGAAGGGAAAGGAAAGGAAGAAGGAAAATTCCCAATGCATTCCAGATTCCAAGGAAATTCATGGGGGAAGCCGGAAGGAAGTCAGAAGTTGCTCCTGCTCCTACTATTTTTTTGCCCACCTTTGGCAATTCTGTTTCTTCTTTTGGTAAAGAAATAGTTCAATACCAAAATAGAAACAGAATCGCAAAGGGTGGGCAAAAATTGCTAGAATGAATGGAGATCAGTTAGCCTTTGAGTTATATCAGCAATCTGGTTTGCCCAAAATTCTTAAAATCATTAAAATTTCCTCTTCCTTCTCCTCTGCTCAAAGGACATAAGTTCATCATAAACTACTTTACAGTGAATCAGAATGCTCAGCATATCTAGCTCAGTATCACCCTGATTAACACCAAGATTTCAGGTAGAGGCTTTATGTAGATCTAAGGATTACACCTGACTGGGACTTTAGCTGCACAAATCATGCTATCTCTGAACCTGGGTAGCCTTTTTTTTTTCTATAGTAGAATGCAAATTGCTGGCACTTTCTATCTTTCCTTTCTATATTTTCACAACATCACCATCTTAGAGCTGCTAGCAAATGATTCATTGAAATCTGAGCTTACCAGAAAACCCACATTGACAATGTGTGTACAGTACATGCTGATGCAACAGATGACCTAGCCCAGCCCTATTTACTGTACAGTATTGACATGCTGATTACAAGGAAGTTAATTGAAAATATTAACTATAAAAGTTCGAAATAGAGGTTACCTGTGATAGTTTATTATTTGACATCATGTTATAAATGCTGAAAAACAAACAGTTGTCTCCAAAAGCCATCTACCCCAACCCTTGAAATAAGGGGTAACTCTAGTTTCTGATCAAGGAACTAATGGTAGCCTGGATGAATTGTGAATTGTACTGAGTTTACATATTGTACTATGTAACATGGTTTAATTGGTTTGGTATTAAATTTATGTTTATTTTGATCACAAACTTCACTCTTCACTGAAATAGGCTTTATTTTTAATTAACTGAGTACCTTGCTGTATTCTAAAAAGCCTACATATTCAATAGAAGTAATTCATTTTATGGATTACATTCTTGTTGAGCAGGTTTCTGAAGATTAAAAGCTTTACCCTTATATTTCGATGTCTGCTCATAAAAATTTCTCAGAAGAGAAAAACAATGAGATTGTCTATAGTTCTTCCTAGTTTTCAAAGGTGCCATTCACTTACCATCTCTGTAATGGACAGAGACATAAAGACTTAATAAGGAATAAATACATCTTCCTCTTATACAATGCCTCTATGTAAGATTCACCATGGCAATTAAGGTCTACCATGTTTGACCAAGTTAATTCTGATATAACTCACTACCTATTGCGTCCCACCAGTAGGAAATTTTGTGTATATTCTTATAAATGTTATATACAGTCTTTTTCACAAGTAAGATCATTGTCCTAACTATAACCATTACTGTTCTGTGGATAAGTTGTAAAATATTTATTAAAAATAGTTTGCAGGATGAAATACTAGTTTAAAAATGGTAATATTCTCTAAATGTTTAAGGCAACACGGTGTACAAACCAGAAGATTTTGAGTTCTAGTCTTTCTTAGCCATGAAAGCCAGCTGGGTGACTTCGAGCCAGTCACTGTCTCTCAGTCCAATTCACCTCACAGGCTTGTTGTTCTGGGGAAAATAGGAGAATGAAGGAGTGGTAGATATGTTTGCTGCCTTAAGTTATTTATAAAAAATAATAAAGGTGGGATAAAAAAAGACTTTAAAAATACTAAGGCAGTTTTTAGATTTCATAAAGAATCATGAAACAAAGAAACCATTTTATAATTTTCTCCTAACTACATGAGAATATTTTGGATTATACTGTTGTTCCCAGGGTTTCACAACTAATAAAGAAATTTAGTGTTACAAGAAATATAAGTTATATCCAAAGCTATGTGAGTTTTCCAGCTATAATTTGTGATGCTTCTTCCAGATACTTTGCTCTGGAGACCTCCTCCAGCTTATGAAGCAGATTTGGGTAAGTATGTATGTTCTCATTCATACAGTAGTTGAATGCCAAATGGAACATGGATGGGAAACATGTTAGTAGGAAGTGGAAAGAAGCCAGGGTGTCAAAATCTGGAATAGTATAGAACAAAACATCTTCAAAATCATTTTGATCAACTGTAAATTCTCTACAACTTGTTATATTACATTAGCTATATCAAAGGTTTGGCTTTAGCTGTGAATGACTAAAAAAAATTTGTGCTTTTTCTTTCCAACTGCAGTTACATAACACTTTTGAGAAATGATCCTAAAAGAGCTATACATTCAAGGAAAATGAAAATATTTAGATACATATTATGTAACATTACTTTTTCCCCAACAGAATTGGGATATTCTATTTCACTGGTTGGCCATGCACCATCAAGATGGTGTTGACTCTTAGCAATATAGATTTTCTCCCAGATGACCTGTCCTCAACCTGGTTTTCCAAGTCTTTCAGTGATGGACTCATCACTGCTGTTAAGTGAACCCATGCACCAGATTTGCTCTATTATGGAGCAACCTGAAATCAAACTATTGACAATAGACTTGTATTCTACAATTGGAAGGTAACCTATATCTTTAATACATCAGCAGCTTCAGTGTGGAAAGATTCATGGAAGATGCCACCAGAAGCCATCACTTTAGAGAAATGTCAGTATGGAATATAGCTGTTTTGGCTGCTGTAGCATTTCCCACTATCAAAACTAGGTTGCCATAAATATCAGCATTAGGATTCATAATGGAAAAGAACAGTCATGTTCCTCCAGCTTCTCAAGTGTATTTACTTGAACATTATGTAACAGAACACTGGACCTGATAGACCTTTGCCTTGATAAAGTACTGGAGTGCTATTATGACCAGAAACTATAATGTTCCAATTTGATCTTCCAAAGGGAGCTTAAAGAGTTAGAACATTTTGTGATTCCCTTCTGTTCCGAAGTTAAAATAAAATGTTGCGTTTTGAAGTGGAAATCTTCTTTCAGTGGAGGGAAGCCTTTGTGTCGGAGTCATATTTCATGTAGAATATAAAAAGGAGATATTTTCATATTTCTGCTATCACTTTGCCTTTGGAAACGAAGAGCCAGTTTAGATACTAAGTTTGTGCCACACATCTGGAAGATCCTCAAAGAGATGCCTCTCATAGCTCATGTTAGGAATGCTTCACAAAGATATTTCAGCCTCAATTGTACTGACTCCTTTAACTATCAAAAATTTCAAAGCAAATTTCTAGTTTTCAAAGAACCAGGATATCCTGTGCTTCCATTAAGCTTATGAAATGGTTTTGTTCTAGTGGAAACCTTTTTCCTCCATGCTTTAGGTGAACTAAACTTCATCTCACCATGGCTTATATCATCTTTCATGCTGTTCACCCAAAAAAAAAAAAATTCTATGGCTCACTGTGGCTGCAGCAGAAAAGGGGAATAATTGAAAATTGTCTGCCTTTTGATATTAGCAGAAATGCCTACTTGATAAAAAAAACCATTGTGCAAGCAGATTGGCAGCACTTGATTTCCATTCATAGATTGCCATTGTGATCTACAGTATTGCTATGGTATACAAGTACAATACTATTGTAGAAAACACTAAGATTTCAGCTAGATATACTAAAAGCTTAATTATTCTTACCAAAATATCTTTTATGTGCAGTAAATATGTGCACATATGCATATGTGTCTGTTTGTCTGCATGTATACGTGTCATAGAATAAAATCTGACACTGGAATTCGAAGAGGCCAGAGAATTCAACCTCTTCCTTAATGCAGGAATCCAAGTTAAATAACTTCAAGAGACGACTGTTTAACTTTTCACTGAACATATCAAAGAAAGGGAGCCTACCACATCTCTAGATAATTGGTCGCCTTGTTGATCTGCTTTTCCTAACAGGAATATCCCCCCCCCAACAGTCAGTCAGAATCTGCCTTTCTGTAACTTAAATCCATTAGTCCATATTGTGCGCTGTGGAATGTGAAAAAACAGGACCTGACTTCCTACTCTAACATCCTTTCAGGTATTTGGAGAGCGCGAAGATATTTCCCTGTAGCACTTTTTGCAGGCTAAACATACTCAGCTCTTTTAAACCCTCTTCGTGGGATTTAGTTTCTAGTCCCCTGATCACTTTTAAATTTTCCTAAATCCACTTTCTCTGACTCTTTCAAATTCAGTGTCGAGAGCTGGACACACTACTTGGGGTTGGGGTCTGCTCAAAGCAGAATTAAGATGGCACGATTACTCCCCTTGAAGTGTCATTAACTTCCATTCATGTATCCTGAAATGACATATGCCTATTTTGTAGACAATCCACCCTGTTAACTCATAGTAGTTTCCAATCAATTACTTTTCCAAAATCATTTTTCACAACTGCCATTACGAAACTAGCGATACCCCATTCTGTATCTGTGCACATGATCTTTATTTTTCACGGTATGGTAAAATCTGAACATTGCTCTATTGGAGGCTTCATGCAGCTTTCCCTGTACTTCCTTTTTAGTGATTATGGAACTGTGTTGAAGTTAATGTCAGTAACTAAAGTCAACATAAAACCATCTCTGTGTGTCAAATGTTCCCACAATTGGAACGTACAGTTCTCTTTTCAGCATTACTTGTTTTTATTTCTGTAAGAGATTATGTATGTAATTGACAAATAAATATTTAGTTAATACTAGGCCGCGTTTGCATAAAGTGTCATCAGGGCCAAAGAGGCCTTCTGTTCTTTCTATTGCACATGGTGTTACTGTATGTATTTTAATGGCAGGGATAAGTGGCTCGTATCATTTTTGCATTTAAATAGTATTTTAATATTTGTCTGGAGGCCGTTTTAATAAATAATTTTGATATCATTTCATCTATGGCAAAATTCATCTCTTTCGTTACTAGTCATCTTCACAAACCTCTGCCTTTCAAACTTTGTGCCTGGCATCCATCTCATCCCCACAGAGCAAGTAACGCTGAAGTGCAAATTACAGCAATATATTCCCATTTTACTTCTTGTTATGACATATGTAACTTTTATAATGTTATTAAATACATTGGCACCTTCTAAAACACTTTGATAAAATAAACACACCATTCATTTCTGCATACTATTTTTTTTTTCCAGGCTGCTTTCATTATTTTTCAAATACCTAAAATTTTGGAATGATTTCTGCGCTGACATGTATTTTGAGTTACCCAAAGAAAACAGCATGTAGGAGAAATCTGCTCACTTTCTTAAAGTGTCATTTTTCAAAAGTAAAAACTAATGTATTATTTTGGCATACTTTTATTCAGGGTAGTCTTTCAAAACATATATGAAATAGTTTTGAACATTTCCCCTGTTGGATATCATGATGTGTTTCTTCTGTAAAAAAAAAAAAGAAGAAAAAAAAAGAAATCCTGAATTTAAAAGTTATAAGGCCACCATGTTTTAATGATGTATTGTTAAATGCTAGAATATGAATTTCAGAGAAGATCCTAAAACAAAAAGTTATTACATAACTTGAGAGGTAAAGGAGAGTTGTATAATTCAATATTTACAATGAGGAATAGAAATTAAGATGGGTATCCTTCAGACTCTTAATAAATAATGTTGAATGGTTAGTGTTTAATAATCAGACACGTCCTAGAAATCCAATAGTACTGTACTGAAAGGTAGTTTTTAGGGAAAACGTTACTAAACAATTCCATTTTCTCCATTGGGAATTACAGAAGGATCAATTCCATGTTGTTTCATTTGTACTGCAATGTCGAAAAGGTAGTCGTAACATTCACACCTGAAGAATATATAAAGGGAAAAATAAATAAATTAAGGTGGTCTGTAAATATAAATCAACTAATTTACTATTACAGCAGAAATAAAATTGAATGAAAGTTTTCACAATGTACAATACTGCATTCACAGAAAATGAAAACAATTCTGAATTTAAGATTGATACAAACCAGGAAAAAAAACCACACCACATGTATCTCAAATACCCTACTCTCAACTAAACTAAGACAACCTTTCCCCTGTAAATAACATACCTGAGGGAGGGGAAAAAACCTAACATTTTTGTTAAGGTGAATATAGTATTATCTTGGTAATAATAACAATTTAAAAATATTTCTCACTATGGAGGAATTCTGAGGTACCAGAATATTATGTAAATATATTTACATAATTGGTAAACATATATACTGTATTTCCCTTATCACCATTCAAAAATCTTTTTAAAACTTTGTTGTTGTTATAACAATAGAAGCGCTGCAAGTATTTATAAAACAACTGTAAACATAGAATGGTATAGTGGAGAATATTTTTACACTTGGTAACTGGAATAATTCCCAATTTTCAAAAATAAAAACAGAAAAATCAGGTGAAATAGAAGCAAACACAATCCAGCTATACTTATATCTTAAGAAATTATATTAACAAGTTCTGGAAGAGATAGTCCCACCAATATATTGGTTTATTTCCTCGTTCTACTCACATTGTTTTGGCTTTTTCCCAAGTTTCACCCCAAACATAAACACCATGACGCCTGACCAGCACGGCACAAGTGTCCGGATATGTGTTCATTGCATGTGCCATTCTCTCCTTCAAGTCCTTCTCTTCAGGTGTATTCTCAACAATAGGGACTACTAACATGTCATCATATCTGAAAAAAATGAGGTTGCATTGATATGAATAACATGGTCCTATATCACTATAGCCCAGTGGTGGCGAACCTATGGCACGGGTGCCAAAGGCGGCACTCGGAGCCCTCTCTGTGGGCAACGTGCTGTTGCCCCAGCCCTGCCTCCCCCCATGACACCCTCCTCACCAGCAGCTCTCCTGGAGAAGGGTCGCCCCCGAGCGTGGCCCACGCAGAGCAATGCAGTCAAGGACATGGCAGCCAGGCAACGTAGACAAGATTCTGCCCTCACGCCCCATCACGCACAGTTGATGCTGTGGGGGGGGGCAGAGGGCGTGGTTGCCATGGCGCTGCTGGGCGATCTGCAGCGGGCCCTGCTGGCAGTGAGTGGCCCTGTGAGCAGTCGGGGTGGGGGCGGAGCAGGGGTGGAGCAGAGGGTGGAGAGGGGGCGGGGCCAGTTTTTGGGCACTCGGTCTCTAAAAGGTTCGCCATCACTGCTTTAGCCTCTCATGCCTAGTTATCATTGCATTGCTTGTTCAATTTGTTTAAAACATTTATGTCCATGTTTTCTCTTTAAAGAAGAGTGAGTCAAACTATTCTCCAAAGCGCCTGAAGGCAGGACAAGAAGCAACGGATGGAAACTAATCAAGGAAAGAAGCAACCTAGAAGTAAGAAGAAATGTCCTGACAGTAAAACAATTAATCTGTGGAACAACCTGCCTCCAGAAGTTGTGAATGCTCCAACACTGGAAGTTTTTAAAAAGATATTGGACAACCATTTGTCTGAAATGGTATAGGGTTTCCTGCCTGAGCAGGGGGTTGGACTAGAAGACCTCCAAGGTCCCTTCCAACTCTGTTATTCTATTCTATTCTATTCTGTTCTGTTCTGTTCTGTTCTATATCCAATGTGGCCAACAATTAAAGCAAGCAATAACATCCCCCCCATTTCAAAACTAAGAATCTATGAAAGCATTACAACAAAGATAATTGCAGTACCATGCTATCATAAAAAAACCATAATCAAGTATACAGCTGCCTATTTAATTCTGACAAAGGAAGTAAATGAGCAAAAATGTAATAAGCCTTACAGCTTATTCACAATGAGAATCTTTAAAGACTTATTTTAAAACATTGTTTTCTCACCTATTTCAAGATGTTGATCACCCCATAGGGGAAAAGTAATTGGGAACATACATTCAGTGGGCACAATCCAAACAAGGATTAAGATAGAAGTGACAAAATTACCTAGAAAGAAATCTGATTGAACTCAGTGGTGTTTGCTTGGATCTTGATTGAAAAAAACCAGATTATATCATCAGTGGTTTCAAAGATATTGACAGTCTAATTTTGACTGGATAATGCCAACTATAAGATGATGTGTAATTCATCTTAGATATAACAATGAAAGATATTACACTTTTCTTACCAACAGTTGATTGTATTCTTGTTTTCAAAAAGTAGCAAAATGTACTGAATCACTTGTTACTATTTGTTACCACTTATATTTACCCGAAACGAAGATGAGCTTAAATGTAAAAAGTAAAAGTCTTCTTTTACATTGTACGAGATACAACATACACATTATTATCTTTCTTGCGTAAAAAGAAACAGCTCTACCAATTCAGGAAAAATATCAGGCAGAGATGGGATATAGGAAGGAAATTAAAGTAAATATATAAGAACGGGCTGTTTTCGGGAAGTGGTAGAAAGCAATTCGTGCTAGTTTCAGCAAAACCAACCATGTTTACACTGCATTCAACTCTTCAACTTCAGACTGAATAGCTCTTATTCTTAGAAAAGTATTTGCAGACCATGGCTTTACTGGGAATAGATCTCTTTAATATGGTTTATTCCATGTGATAGTTGGAGGATATCCTTGGGGCCTGGAGAAAACTAGTTTGGGGATGGCTTCTTTCTTTGGGAAATAAAGAAACATATTAACAGAAATTTGTCCTGGGTTACAAAGCAAACATGTTTACTTGGTAGTAAGCTGTACTGAGTTCAGTGGCTCTTCCTAAGTAGATATGCTTAGTCCTATTCAACTGTTATGAAATCTGGCAATAGCTTAATTATGTTTAAGGAATGCAAATACATATTCTAGCCCTGATCTCCTCTTATTACCTTCCCTGTGGAAAGGCTGAACATCAGTATTGGCATATTTATCTGGTGGCTATCTGAATGACTGTGGATTCTGATCTTTAAACATCTTAACCCAAGCCTGGTATTCTGCTAAACAGAAATAACAATAGCAACTGTTTCATACTTCTGCCTCTGTTCCAGACTTCTGATTTATTTGCGCCATCTCCTTACTTTCAACAGTGTTGACCAGTATCCAGAATAATTTAGTCACTTTGTCTATACCTGGGGTTCTAAAAGCCTAATATTATTATCCATTGGAAAAGCAGCAGAGCGAACAGTGATCAAAAGTCAGATTCCTATTATCAAATTACATATCTATCTGCATATTATTAGAAAACAATTCCATATTTTCCTAGTAACTCTGGAGTCCTGCATTAAGAGCACCCTCTGTAAACTTGGTAGCTAGTTTTTAAGTAGAAGTAATAATGATGATACATGTTTACAGCATTACCCAATTGGTAGTTGTTACAACACATCTCCAGTTTCATGGAGGACATGTGGAAACATCTCCTCTCATACTGCTGTATTTTTCAGGGTGTCTACAATTCTATGTTCCAAACTTAAGCTTTCTAGATAAAACGTTAGCATATCCCAGTGTAAGAGAAGCTGCAGCATTTTTTATTTATGGTCATGATATATTATCCTACAATCAAATAAGTATGGCGTATATAGGTAGTAGTCTGCAAATTTGAATTAAATTGGTGTGAACAGTGCCAGGATAACTTAATCTCACCTTATTATTCATTGTGCAAATTCCAGTGAGTAATCTGCTGAATCTTGTTCATAGCTGAGATTTTTAGAATATTACGTGGATAATATCAATCCACTGAAATGTCTAAGCCATTTTTTACTTAGAGACTTGAGATAAGTTTCACTGAAGTCAGACACTTGTTTTCTCTCTCAAATTCATCATGCAAAAACGCAGATTCATCACTGGAATTGTTAGGTGGCATAATCTTCACAAAATTAAAACTTGCTTTATAATGAATAGTTAAAGCATAACAGTGACTGCTAGACTAAATAATATTTTATAATGGGTGACATTGCTAGGTAGTTTAACCCTCCTGCTGATAAAATATTTTCCCCTTCTCATTTTATCCCTCATACCTTCTCCAATTTTCCAAAGAACTAAGTGATTACCCATTTTTTTTTTTATGAAACACAGAATAAAGGAGATTCGATGGAGGTAGACATATATAAAATTTGGTGTATTAAAATGTTATAGAGAAATATTGTAAGAGGAGATGCTCGGACGACACCCCCAAACTGCATCCGAAGGATGAGGAAAGGAAGGAGGTGGGATGTGTAGGGTAGTTGAATGAGAGGAGGAAAGAGGAGAGAGGTGTAGGTAGGAGGAGAGGAGAGGAGGAGGGAAGTAGGTAGGAAGGGTGAAAGAGAGGGCAGATGCGGGGGGGGGCCTGCCGAGCATCTCTGAAAATTTTTTATGATTATATTTAATATGATTTTTTTTATTAATGTATACCATATTTGTATTAAAAATTTGTTTATTTGAAAATTAATAAAAAATTGTAAAATAAAAAGAATAAAGGAGATTTGTTGTTGTCTTAAAAGTTATTTCTTTTGTTGACTAGCTATTCCAGTAGAGGGGGGATGGGATTTTGAGCCTATGGTATTGTAAATATAAACAGTTTTTCTATCTATCAAGATTAATTTACGAAGAACAGGAGAACAAGCTTGTCTTAATGTTTCTGGAAAAGGTTTCTGGGTATTCACATAATTGGGAGTACATGATTGCAATGGATTCATTTTAGATCAGAGGTCCCCAAACGTTTGGGCACTAGGGACCAGTTCTGTGGAGAGAGATTTTTCTGAGGACCAGAGGATGGGTGATTTTGTGTGTTGCCTACATTTCGCAGATGGGGCTTTGCTTGTTTGTGCGGACCGGTTGCTGGCATGCTGCGGCCCGGTATTGGTCGACGGACCGGGGGTTGGGGACCTGTTTTAGATTCTGGGGGTTTGGAATAAAAGTTGAACACAAAAATTATAGAAGTTTTTCTAGCACATCAAAGACTAGCAATTATCGCAGAAGCTTTGGTGGGTCATAGATCCCTTCATCCAATGCATAATGTGATAAGATCTTTAAGGATTCTATTGTTTTGTTTCAAAAGACAAAAACTGACTTAAAAAAAACTGCATGTATGAGAGAGTACTCAATATTACTCCAATGTTATTTATTAATGTAAATTACCTGAAATATCCCCCTGTAGTACATTTCTTGATTCCTTTTATCATCTCCTGATGAGTGATTTTAAACTCTTTTCCTGGATACAAAAGTGTGGCCATTACAGCAGCTTTGGAATGAGTATGAATCACTGCTCCAGCTCCTAAAACAATATTTTTAAAGAGGATATGATTCAAAAATTCAGTATTTGTTCTCAAATTTGGCCCATTTTATGTACTTTGATTCACAAATGGCTTCCCTATGACTCACTATTTTGCCTAGTTAAAGGTTAGTAGTATACAGGTAATCCTCGACTTACGATCACAATTGAGCTCAAAATTTCAATTGCTAAACAAGACAGTTGTTAGGTGACTTTTGTCCCATTTTACAACCTTTCTTGTCACAGATGTTAAGTGAATCACTGCAGTTGCTACACACACACACATAAATTGCTAATATATATATATATAGCAAGACAACCCATCTCAACTTGAGACCTACCAAAACATCTTTAATACAGTAAGGACTGTAATACTGACTGCACATTATGGAAGTTACTGATCTCAATGCATCTTTACAGAATGCAAGACAGTACTTATTGTCAGATCTATTAGAATCATGACTATTCAAGGAAATTATGTCTGCATCACTAGTGCCTATCGTAATAGTCTTAAACAAATTTCTTCCCAAACACTTTTAACACTGGGATGCTGCCACCAACAGACTAGAAGTAGAATTGTTTCAATATTCATAATTTCCTGTCTTTATAACTTGGATGTCAGAGAATACAGGGATGGGTGTAATTTTCTCTTATTATAATTTTCTATAATTTATCTCGATGTGAGAAGATTGGAAGACTCACTGCCTTCTCACAGATGACACCTTAAAAAAATCCAAATCTCCTTAAAAAATTTGGATTTCTTAATTTAGCCTCATGCTCTATTTCAGGAAGGGTATTTTATTCAAGCCCATCCTCTATTCCAGGGTAAACATTTAAAACCTACCTATTCTGAATATAAGGCATGAATTACAAGAAGCATAGGAAGACTTTTCTTTGCACATCTTTCCAACTTTCATTTTCCTCCTGTTTCTTTTTTTACTGCAATTAACTGGGGGACTTATAGATCAGCTGCTAACTTACAAAGCATACATATTAATTGGTTATTTTTAAAATTTATTACATAAGACAAAAGTCATGACTACAATAAAAATTCCATTAGAACTGTAAACATGCTACTTATAAAACAGAGCTATTGTTAATGAATTTGCTGTAGTTTTTCAATCTGTTCCAATTATTGGGATCTGTCAAGGATGCTCAGGCCTACAGGCTAGACTGGGAGATTAAAAAAAACCTCAGGAACGAACTGCATCCTTCAATTATATAAACTGGCTTAAGGCTCTTTCTCTACATCAGCTCAATAATTCTAAAAAAAAAATGAATAGAAGGGGACCAAATTAGGTCTGGAGTGAGAAAGTGGTAGAAGAAAATAAGAGTTAAAAATGGGGTGAATCAAGCTGGAGGTTGTGGAGGAAAACAAAAATCCAGAAAAAAACCGCCCGCTATGGGAGAGGCCAATGACTCAGAGTATTGCCAGTTTCTGGGGTCCCCTCCCTCCTGGCCACGTTTTCTATTATTAAAGGATTGCAAATAATTCCAGAAGCCACACTTCATGCCTTTTCCTACTTTTTCTTTTTGAAAAAAAAAAGAAGAAGAAAGGATTGTACTGTAATATATCTCCACCCAGGACTTGGCTGAGGATGAATGAAAGATCCTTTTAACCTAGGTTGTTTTGTTTCTACCCAATTTGTTATTCCTGTCATCGCTATCCTTCTTTTGTTTCCTGTTTTCATTGTCTTGTTTTTCATGTTTGCAATCATTTGTAATCATCCAGAATTGCTGGGAGTCGGGTGGCCTCTAAATCATCATAATCATCCGCCTTCCAGTCACCTTGCAGACAAAATCACTATATTATCAACGGCATCGACCTCCAAGGATATTTAGGCCCCTACCTCTCATGATATAAGCATTCATGAACAGAGGTGTACATTGGCTCTTCTTGAGTTTCTTGTAGAACGGAGGGCCGCTGATGTCTTTTTCTTCGATATCACACACAAACATGTCTTCAGGCTATAATGAAAGAACAGCCAGCTGGGATAATCGTCACTTTTCAATAACAACAACAAAAATACTTCAGAAAAAAATTGACAAATTGTGGAAATCTAATTTGGGGCAAGGGTATTTCAAATTAAGAAACTACTAGAACAAAGGCATGTTGATACAATCGGTTCAATTTACTGGGATTCTGAGTACATGTACCTTAGTGAGGCAGCCAAGCACCTATGCAAGGACACACTATATTATAGACAGTCCAAAAATATCCTCTGCAGATCAAACTCAATAGAAACTGGTTTTTCTACTGTGCAGGAGAAGCTGGCTATAAGCAGCACTGACTGGCTAATGCTTGTGCGGTCAGAATTTCTGCTCTTCCTATATCTGCAGCGTTTTACAGGTCTTTAAAAATGTATTTTCCCTTCAAAGGCAAAATGAAGTGGAAACCCTTCTGAACAGAGAACCTAGCAAGACATCTAATCATGTTATTTTTGCACATTGTATAACATTTTATGGTTTTAGAACTATTCTTGCACATAGTATAATGTTTTATGGTTTTAGAACTTTTGATAACACTTGGAAGATGGCTTGTCCCCACTTCAATGCAATACAGATGCAACACTGATACACATCACAGTATAACGGGAAGTGGCACTGACGTCACTAAGATTACCTTTAAGTAAGAGAGCTGATTGTAAATTTAATTATTCTACTTTATACCCAATGCACTTGCTTGATTTTAATGGGCTGACGTTATTAAGCACTCGTATTTGCAACCATCACAGCCTTGGTGATCAGTTTTCAAACATTTCTCCTTGAAAAGATTAAACAAACAAATGAAAACTGAGACTGCAATTACCCACAATCCATCTTCTAAATCTGGCACATTCAAATGAATAAACAAACACAGCTCTATTTAAACATGCACAATGTAATCAAATCCATTTAATTCAGTGGAACTTACACCCAAATAAATTGGGATAAGATTCCAGTCTTAAATCAGAAAATGTGCATTAATATTGATGAAGATTAATGCAATCTTAGAGGCCATAAGTTAGTTCTAACTAATAATGCTGCTTTTTATAATAGTATCATAAAATCTGTGAAATATAACTTTTCATATTTGCAAAGCATTTAATTTAAATTCCAGTGATTCATTGCAGTATAATGCTTTAAAGCAGGGGTGTCAAACTGCCGGCCCGTGGGCCGGACACGTCATCCGGAAGCCGTGCCCACCCCATTGCCGGCAATGGCAAAACCGTCCCGATATGTTGCGCAATGTCACGTGACGTCGTGAGTTTGACATGTCTGCTTTAAAGTGTTTCTCATACAGGACTAGTATTTTTCATTGTTTAAAAAATGCTGGCAGCATTAATCTAGAATTATAAAAGGGAAACCTTTTCCCACCTACCTTCTGAATTGAGAGGAAGCATTTGCCGATAGTGAACACTTTGGTTTTCCCCAAAGCCAAAAACTAAAATAAGTAAATCTGTATTTGCTCTTGCCCAGTAAGACTCAGATGGAGGAAAGTTGGAAACTGCTACCCTGAACGTGGTCCTTTTGTCATACATTGAAAACAAGTTCCCTATGAAGAAGTCACTTTAGTGGAGGAGCAAGGAATAGGAGAGAAAGCTCTTCCCCCTTTGTGTTGCCTGCTACTCTCCCCCGCCCAGATACTGCTTGGGGGAAGGAGAAGCAGAGGAATGGTAGAGTACGTTCTTCGCTCTTATTGACTAGCTGACTTGTTGCCCCAATAAGGGCTGGCAGTGGTCCTCTCCAGCAAGCCCAGAAGTCATGGCAGAAGTCATGGCCAGAAGAAGCCAGGGATCTCCACTTGGGGTGGATGGGCAGGAGAGAGGTAGACATACATCCCCATGGATGAATGGAGCAGGAGGGTATGAGAATGGATCAGCTGGAGTTGTGCAGGTACCCAACCTGCCTTAGGTTTCTCCCCATGCAAATGTTTACACAGAGGAACTCTTATAGCATTTCTACTGGAAAACACTCCTTCCTCACTAGATCCTTTTGATTCATCTTCAATAAGTCCTAGTGGAAGGCTGATGTAGAGATGGAGGTTCTTGTGTTATTGTTATCCTCGATAACGTAAGAGCAGGGCATCTATAGAGAGCCAAGGGAATCCCTTGAAGGACAGGAGGAAGAGCCATTATCAAGGCAATTGTTAGATAAAAGGGGCCTGAGTCCAGGCCAAGAAAGAAATGTCTCAGGTGAGCCCCTCCCTAGTTTACTGGAAGATAAAGGGAAGGAGAAGGAAGCACATTCAGACTTGCCAGATTATGTTTCTATTGATCTACAATACAAACAGAAGTGACCTACGGTATACGGCATTGGTTTTCCTAGTCCGGTCTACCTCGAAAAGATGACATCATCTAAGCCAATCCATACATTTCTTCACTGGTAATTGCTAAATAATTATAATTATAAAGGCAGACGTAGCTAGTCTCTGATTTTTCATATAGGAATATAAAAT